GCCAGCCAATCGGACCGCACACATCCGGCTACTGATTGGAATCCAATCAACCAGAGTAGCTTCAGCCCGGGGACTCAGGGCAATACCAACACCGGCTTGGCCGGTGCTCGAAGCTGCATCGTCACCGGATAGGCGCATCGAGAAAGTGCTGCTAGTATCACCTGAAGGGGATCGCAGAGTGAGCACAGAGCTCGAGTCTTGCAGGCGGGTCTCCGATAAGCAGCAGATATCGATCGATAGGGTCTCTAATGTTCGAGCAAGTGCTGCCTGTTGACCGATCTGAAGCAATGTGCGAACATTGAGGCATGCCAATCTGAAGGATGATCGAGGGCTCCAAATGGAAGCCGATGAACTGGAATGGGCCGCTTGCTTGGACATGGGCCTGTTGACAGGGCAGGAATGACACTCCGCGTTCACATGTGAGTTGAAACTAAAAGGCAAGCGACTATTGAAGCAACGTGGGGGAGGGCCGAGAATTGGGGAGTTGAAAACAGGGGGGGATAAAAGTGAAGCTGGAACGGGACGATAAGGGTGAAAAAGCGCAAGAGAGGAATAAGAAGACGGGAAGGCTTGAGCAGTAGCATCCAAACCCCTATCTACCCTGCCCGATGCAGCAGATAGGGCACCGTTGATTATCCTCTGCGGTGGCCAGAGCATCAGAAATTTGTTTGAAGTGTGATTCATTGTATTGCGTGGGCAGGATACTGTCAGGTTGCCCAGGCCTAGACAGGAGAACGATTAGGGTTCTCAACCAAAGCCTTTGGTTCAAAAACCTGTCCGCAAGGCAGCGGGTTTGGCATTGGGCTACAAGGAGTCCGTTTTAAGGAATAAGGTGCCACCCTCATTCCAACCCCCAACCTGGAGGACCAGGAGGCTGAGTTTGTCTGGCCTCTAACCATTGACCAATCTGGTATGAGTGGCTCTGAAGGTGCAAAAAATGCACCACCCAGTATAGCTCAATGGATCACAGAGGCACACAAACCATCGCACCACGGTAAGGTCCAGCCTCATTGCTATGACGCACGTGGGGTAGGATACTATGAAGTGCGCCCTGTCTCTACGCAAGCTCTAACGCGCTCTGCAAGATTACGAGATAAGCTCATTACCTCCAGGATACGGGCCAGCAAAAAACATGCAACCCTTAACGATTCTGCGTGTCATCTTTGCGCAGAAGCCGTGCTAATCCACTCTGTATCTTTTCAATTTTAGTATATGTACCGTCGAAGTAAGTACTCACTGCCCGTGGTCAAACACATGTGTCTGTTAGAGATTTTATTGACAGTCAGCTCCCAGACTTCGTTCCGTCTTTATCACCTTACTGCGCCCGTTTACCAGGAGTCGACATTGTTTCGACAAACGTCTCATTTGTCCTCCTCCTCCTCCTCCTGAAACTACTGTGGATTAACAGTTTTTAATACATTCGGCGGGGTGAGTCCACTGGTGTAGACTTATTTTTGCTGAAATCTTTTCCATATTTTGCAATATTCTCCATGGTTATCCAACGACACCCGTTAAGCATTAGCATTTTTACCCGTATTAAACCATTATTCCGGCGACCAAATATCCCCTGGAGGCAGTATAATTGAGGTAGCAGTTTTCCAACAGGCAACTTAGCAACATTTACACTAAGCGCGGCCACACTGTAGATATCAAGAAACAAACAGAATATGAAAGAAAATAAACTTGCAAATTATGCAGTAAATATGCGGCAGACTGAAAGAACAGAGTAAACCCGATAATGTATGTTAAGCCCGATCTAGTGTAAGTTGAAGCACGCCAGTCGGAACGAGGATCGAGGTCGAAAGAGAGCCACAGGTTGAACTCCATAGTTCGCGGTGGAACCGGAATTGTGGATGGATCCATGAACACTGGATAACAGTGATTGTTAACAAATAAATAATTGACGTGTGATGAAGTCACATGAGCGAAAGAAGCAGAAACGGTTGCCGAGGAGCACAGTGTCGAAACTCCATGGTTTTTTTCAGTGGGCGTAATACTACCCGGTTGCCAAAGCCGAATTAGGCAGTTAACTTGGGGGACACAAGTCCGCACATTTGGCTAAGCAGTCTACCGGCAAAGCAGCGTGATGAATCTAGGGAATCGCACCAAATGGAAACCGGTGACTAATTACCCAGTTCATACGAATTACATTTGACTTGTGACCCAATCCTCCCCAAGGTTTCAACAGAAAGGTGCTAGACCAGAATATTTCATCGGAGTAAATCAAGAGACAGTGACTTTATTTAGTGGCGAGTCACATCCGCCACATCACAGTGTTGCTAAACGGACATATGTGGCTTGGTATAGAGAGAACACTTGCCACTTGAAAGCCCAACAAGTCCTGGAACACTGCCGCCGAACCATTCGCCGGAACAAGATTAACCCGAATCACCCAGTTGGTAACACAAGAAGGTTGTTCGGCAAGCCAGCCCTTGCAGACAAGCTAAATTCGTTCCGTAAACAGATTTATTTTGCGTTTTGCTTGTAAGTTCCCACTCTACGGGGGGAGTTATGTCCTCCTGCTCCTGCTCCTGCTCCTCCTCCTCCTGCTCCTCCTCCTCCTCCTCATCATCATCATCATCATCATCAGCAGCAGCAGCATTATACACGTCAGCTAGAGGTTGGAAAAACCTCAGCTACTGTGACGCAATACATAAAGGAAAAGGAAAATAAATACAACAGTCGCATGCCAGCTGAGCTACCAGCAACGGATAGGCATCGTTCCGCTAAGCTACCAGCTGGCTACTAGGCAAAAAGAAAAATTATTATGTTTTACGCTACGAAATGAGATCATAGATGGAGGGGAGGCTAAAAGGGATGGGGAGGGACAAAGAAACTCACAGCAGGAGCACCACTGAGGTTGGCGGCTGGCTTGCCGAACAACCTCCTCGTGGTGCCAGCTGGGTGGTTCGGGATTTTCCCGTTCCAGCAAATGGTTCGGCGGCAGTGTTCCAGGACGTGGTGGGTTTTCGCCTGGCAAGCGTTCTCCCTATAAAAAGCCACATTTGCCCGTTTAACAACACGGTGACGTGGCGGACGTGACTCGCCACTAAATAAAGTCACTGCCCCTTGCTTCATCCTGGCGAAGCATTGTATTCCAGCAACCTTATGCTGTACTTCTGGGGAGCATTGGGCCCCTGTTTGACAAAGGAACAAACGAAAGGCGTATGAACTGAGCAATCAGTCACCGGCTCCCAATGGGCGCGATTCCCTGAATTCGCTCCGCTGCCTTGCGGACAGGCTATTCAGCCAAAGGCTCGGGGTGGTGTCCCCTAAGTCAACACCCTACTTGGGCTTGGGCGACCGGGTAGTATCTCGCCCTCTGAGGAAACCAGGGACATTGTTGTGTTATGTTTTATTTTACTATTTCTGTACCTTCGTTTGAATCCCATGGTTTCTGATGGCATTATGTCTGTTAGCAGACTTTTGCAAATATATATATATATATATATATATATATATATGTATATACTGAGGTTGGCTCCTTGCCATGTCAGCAAGTGCATCCAGACAAATGTGTTCATCCTCCTTCGGACCCCAACAAGGGAGCCGTGACGCTCCAACCGAGGCCAGCTCCAAAGTGAGAGCCTTCATTCCTCTTGATCAAGTCATCTTTTGGCTACCCTTCCTCTTCTTCCATCCACATCCCCGGCGAGCAAACAACGCATGTCGTGGAAGTCGGTGAGCTGGCATGCGCAACACGTGGCCCAGCCATCGGAGCCTGGTGCGTGGAATGATGGGGCTGAGTGGTTCAGTTCCTCTTTCTGTGCTGTAAACAAGACGTCGAACACGCTCGTTACTCACGCGGTGTCCCCGCCAGATGTGAGCCAAACTTCGAAGGCACCGATGGTCGAACGTAACTAGCCTCTTCATGTCCGCCGATCTTAGGGACCAGATTTCGCAACCGTACAGTAAGGTAGAACGTACCGCTGCATTGTACACTCTACCCTTCAGGGCGAGAGTAATGTCGCGCCGCTGCCATAGGTGGCGAAGGTTAGCAAAAACACTTCGAGATTTTGCTATACGGTTCGTGACCTCATCTTCGATCCCAAGGGCGCTGATACAATTTCCCAGGTAGTTGAATTTCCGAACGACTTCTAGCTGATCCCCACCAAGGGTCATCGCAGGAGGCGATTCCTGCCAATGTTGGAGGAACGCTTTGCATTTCGATGGTGCAAAACAAAGCCCGAAGCAGCTGACAGCCGGTGCGAATCTGTCCAGCGCGGCTTGGCACGTCTGGGAGCTGTCGCAGATGAGGGCAATGTCGTCTGCATACTCCAAGTCAAGAAGTCGTTCTCCTGGGAGTAGTTCCAAACCTTCCAAGTCATGTCCTGTAAATGCAATCTCCATGCCTTCGTCAACAGCGAAGTTGTAGAGAAATGTGACAGCGATCATCCTTATCTCAACAGGCATTCTTGTCTCAGGGGATTTATGTAGTGGTAAGTAATACTTTACATCTTTTCTTTCTCATGATCAAAGTTATCATAACATTTGTACGGTTTGTTTGAACTGACAGAATAACACTAGAATAGACTTCTTCGGTCCCGCGCTAACGTCGTGTGGAATTTTGGTTGGTATTTCTTCTGCACGAGTACGCTACCATTCAGTTTGCCTTTAAACCGGATGGTACTTGTGGAATTACAGTCGAACGTCTGATTCCAATGTGTCTGACGTGAAGGACAGGCGTAAAGCCCTCTGAATATAAAATTTAGCCGTGATTTGCCTGTTAGCTTTTCCTGAAGTTTGCGAGCATGTCGACCAAACCAACCTAGCCTTTAAGCATGTCATAGCGAGAAAATGAGAAAAAGGAACTACTCCGCTGCCAAGCCGCAACGTTGATTTTGTGGAAACTAGACGTCTACACGTGGAGGTAACGCGCTGCCTAAGGACATCGATTCATCAGTTTCACTGGAAACATTCATTGGCGCGTGACTGAAGGTCATTTTTATCTAACCTCTAAATCAACCAATCATGGTATTACCATGGAGGCTGCCAATCAACCGCAAACACCCGGCATCATTCACGCTTCGTACGCTTGAAACGCCAGTAACACTTGCGGCGCCTTGGGAATGCTGTGTCGTTCGGTTGATGTCGTGTTCGCTGTTAGTTTTTGCTTTGTGTATAGTTCTGTCGCGCACACTAGCGCAGCAAAGGCCAGCCTAACGTATCTGTATATGTCCAACCTTACGGAGAAATCGCAGCCGGATAAGATTCTTAGTTCAATTACCGCAAATGTGATCGCAACGCCCTATCATTTCAGCAAAGTGGACCAACATGACAGTCGCATGTCTTCCAAGTTATTGCATGTGCTGGTTGAGTTCAATCACCATGGAGCGGAATCGGGCAGAAAACTAGAAGTAGTGGCCGAATTTGACAACGATGGAACTGTATCCAAACTGCATCTTCCATTGAATGAAGTCATAAACGCGACGGATTTAAATTTAATCAAGGGGCTGATCAGTTTATTTATCATTCGAACCGCTCTTGAAGCTGGTGTAGAGACAGACAGCTCGGGAACTTGTCGTGTTTCCTACATCGCTCTGAACTACACGGGATCTAATCCTGACCTCGCTGTTTTCCATAAAGTGAAAAGCCGTTGTCAACGAACGCAGCACCCCTTAGATGTTTGGAGTCACAGTTTAGTTCCAATCACGAAATTACGTGGGGCTGAGCGAATACATACACGCTACTTGTTTAACACAGCGGAAGGCTACATTGTGCGTGCCGTTTCCTACGAGGAACAGACACTTTTCACTCTTTCTGGGACAGACGTGAACGTTGTCAAGTTGAATTCGCTACAAGAACTGAAATTAGTGAACAGCAATTGGGAACCGCATATTCTTTCCGGTGCTAGAAATGTCGATGAGGTACGTTTCACTTCCGTTTACTGTCATCGATTCGCTCAGTCCAGGAGGCTGGCAGCACGAGTACCTTACTGTTTCCGATTTCGTGAACTCTCCAGTTTAAGATAGCTTATATGGTTGTCACCTAACATGCTTTCGCAACGATGGCGTCGATGCTGTAAAACGAGAGGGAACTTTTTGAGGCTTTAGGCCACGGGCATCTTAACAAACTGATCACGAACTATAGACGTAGCTCCGTACGGTTGGGACTATCTCGCAGTCGGTGTGATAAAGTGACTCCCACAGCAGTTACACGGCCGTCGTTCTTTTATGCCATACCCCTTATTATGTATTAGCCGTTTGTAAAGATATTTGTGTACTGGAATGCCTTTCGGTACCAATTGTGGCGAATTTCTCTCCAACCTAGTGCTACTTTAGTGCAAGGGTTACCAGACTATGGTCCACAGGCGCGATCCACCCCATGACGTCAGCTCATCCACCCCGCCAAATATACCCGAATTCGCTTGGTAAAGCGTATGGAACACGAAACGTTTATGCAACGATTGACATTTGACACCGCATGCGTGTTATTTGTGACTTTATACTGTGAGAACGCTAGCGTCAGCCAGCCCCTAGTCGTTACATGTGACACCCACATCGCTGGAACATTGACGTGAGTGATCAAGCATGAAGCCCATTTATCCATGCACTCTACTGTATTTCTGTTTACCTCCCACCCTTGTGCCGTTGCTCAGCTCACTTGAGACACGTGATATATAAAACGGGTTCTTAAAATGCCATTAGTTTTTGCCTATGTCATTCTGAGGCCACACTTGCCAGTCATTTGGAACGGCTTGCAAGTTGTTAGTACGGAATTGCACTGAAAGCGCAAATTGTTGTGGTTCATACATTTTGACATTGCTAAATGTATGTTAATACAATGGAACAATGGCATATAATGAGTACAACGTCAACTGCTTAGCAAGTCCCGTAGGATGGCCAGAATAAGAACCACCAAATGATGAAAAGAAAACAGTGATAAATTGTATCGCGTTTTGGTGGACTTCGTAGCTTTCACAGAGGCATGCATAAATGAGTCAGTCTGAATTGTGTTGATTAATGCTATTTGTGCGATGTTCGTCGCATTATAACAATGGAACAATGGATTTGTGCGGGTATAAATGCTAAAGCTTGACAAATCCCGTAGGGTGATCAGTGCGAAAATCATAGAAGTGTGAAAAATTCAATGGAAAGCAATTCAGTAAAATCGTTTAACAATGAGTCACTACAAGCTTGTGGACTCACCGAGTTTGAAGTGTCAAAATAATGATCCACTATAACTCCGGAGGGGGATCATGAGGTATGGAGTATTTGATTAAAAGAGTCACCGCCCCTTGAAATTCGCATGGGGCAAAGTGTTTGAGTTTGAAGCGTCAAAATATAAATCCACTGTTGAAATTTGCGTGGGGGAAAATTATTTTTAAAGTATGGATTTTGGATCTCTCAAAATTAGACTGTACTATGGGAGATAGGGCAATGAAGTGAGTGCACTATCAACTCGATTTTTGAACTCGATCAGGTTAGGTGCACTGACTACAGATTCTGGGAGAGCATTCCAGGCTTGGCAAACACGCACGGAAAAGAAATTCCGTCGACATTCCAAACGGCTGTACTGCACTGCCAGCTTCAGATGATGGCCTCTCAGATTGTTGTTGTTACTGAGCTCCATCAGATGGCGGCAGGTATGATTGGGATCTGTCAGGATCTGATAAGCCAAAATCAAATCTTCCCGTAGTCGTCGATATTGTCCACTAAATATCCCGAGCAATCTCAGACTGTCTTCGTAGCGTAACTGACCTCAACTTTTCACGTTCTTCGTTGCGCGTCGTTGAGGTTTCTCTAAATCAGAGAGGTCTTTCCTCAGCCACGGCTGCCAGACTTGTATTGCATACTCCACGTGTGGTCGTATGTATGCACCTAGAAGTTGGTGAAAAACTGATGGATCGAAGCGTCCAAATGTGCGCCGGAGAAGGCCCAAATTTCGAATGCTCGCGTTCGATGCTTTCTTTGCTTTCTTTTCATCTGTCGATGCACACAGGTTAATATCTCATAGTGTAGGTGGGTTAGGGCAACTTCAGGAAGTTTTTCAAACAGATAAATTGGGGGCCGCAACGCCGTAATTTGGGAGGACGTTCCATGACTGGCAGACACGAAGAAAACTTTCGCCGTAACGGCGCTTCGCTGCCGCGCGACCACCATCAGTCACGTGTGAGCTGTATACCGCGAGGACGCCCACCCCTACGCGAATTTGAACCAGGTACCTTATGACTGCAAACCAGGTGCGCAGACCACTCGTCCACCGGACGACCTAGCTGACTGTATTGCATGGCCAACTTGGGGTGCCGGCCCCTCAAATTCGTGTTGTGACTGTTGTAGTAGGCGACGGCAAATGTGGGTGGGGTTCCTCAGAATATGGTAGGCCATTAGTAGGTCGTCACGTAGGTGCTGACGTTAACTGCTGTACAATCTTAAAGCCCTCAGCCTAAGTTGATATGGGAGATGAAACAACCCTTAGACGTGCTTTAGTGGCTCTTCGTTCTGGAGCCTCGAGCGCTGCAACGTCTTGTTGGTGCCATGGCTGCCACACCTGGATGGCGTATTCCACATGAGGCCGCACATATGTGTTAATCAACTGCGGATAGCCTGAGCAAACCGTCCTAATGCTCTACGCAACATGTTGACATGTTGGTTTTCAGCATTTGATACCTTCACAGATTGTTCCAGGCAACCCAGATCAGCCTGGATTAAGACGCCAATTTCACGCTCCTGGGTGACTGCTTGTAGGACGTGGTCTCGAGGCTGGTGGATGATGTTCAGCTGAGGACGAATGTGACGTATCTTGCAGCTGGACCAATTAAACTAGCAGGTTGTGGAATGACCAGGTCCAGGTCCGGTGATCTTCTTGGTAGGCGATTCCCCGCCACTTCTTAACATCATCAACTAAAAGCAAGAAATCCCAGGAAACCAGACGCGTAAGCTCATTAATGAACAGGAGAAACATGTTGTCCCAGATCTGGTGATTGTGGAACTCTGTTCCATGTCAATCGGATCGGACAGCGCACTCTGAACTCTGATCTGAAGTTGCTGATCCTGCGGGAAATTCCTGATCCACCCATTTTCAGGATCCTGTGAAGCAGAAGTAGTACCGGTATCCACTGCGGCACTGTTAGTTGATTTGGCCGTCGCCACGTTGCCGTCTACTAGACTAGTGGTCATTTGTGGAACTACGGCCCATCAGTTCAGTCATCCCTCTGGGTCTTGGGTGCACGTTCACGAAAGGTTCTCTGAGGATTCGGGACAATGTTAGTCCCTGTAGGTGCTGAGGTTGGGTTGGAATTTTTGAGAGCATTGGCTTCGAATGCTTTTCTAAAATGCCGACACTCACTGCCGACTATCGACAAACTTGGTGTATCGTACTCATTTGCATTTGTCAGTAGCAGAACTGCGGCTTTAACACCGGACGTGTAAGGGCTAGAATCCGTGGCCTTGACGAGCCGCGGGCAACCCTTATTACGACGGACGTTGACTCATTGGTGGTGAGGAATCATTTTGAAGCACTCGAGGTCTGTTTGGGTTGTGACACGCAACCTCAATCTTAACCACTATTCATTTTGAAGTGAACCTGGATCAGCTCGGTCACTGGGACTGTTGTATCTGAAGCGACAGGTGTTGCTCACCCATAACATTGGCGTTTTCGTGTCTGGTTTTTGGCGCTTTGCAGCCTGGTCACACGTGTGCTTCCAAATAACCCATTTAATGAGTCAACAATGACCCTTGTGGCAAATGTTGTGCATCGCTGGTTTAAGAGTACGGCTTTCGACTGATTCGCCGAAGGTACCGGGTTCGAGTCACATTCCTACCTACTCTGTCTGATGAGTTCAGCTGTTAAACTGGAAAGCGGTGTTGAGCTCAGTCAGCATATAGCGTTTATTTGCCCCAGGTACGGTCACAGCGACCGAATTGACCTAGACTCACTTCGAAGTAGAACACGGTCCAGATTGAGAGCGCGCGTCGCAAACGGGTGCTCCAGAATGAACCTTCCAAAAAGAGCGGCTCCATTCCTGTATGTTTCATAGAATGCGTTCAGTGGTATGAGTCTTGGCACCTAGGTGATTACATATACCTCGTACGATTTCACTACAAATATTGCACCGACGGATAATACAACTAAGGATGGAACTGAAAATATGTGCAACTGTCATTCAAGTGCATGGTCACGTATCCTGACTATATTCACGACTCCTCGAGATGATAAGTAGGCATGACGAGTGCGGAATTACTTTGTTACGTAGTGTGAACAGTGAACCTAAACTCTGAGGGCGTAAAGGACAGATTCAAACTTGTTGATAGATCAGTATCCGGTAACCGAAAGTCATTTAGGACTTTGAAACCGAAGTCGATACATGCACTGGGATGTTTGTTAGGAATTGAGTCAACCGGATATTGTCTAGATAATCCCCTGCATTGATACGTAAGCTTCATCGGCCAGACATGCTAAATGAAGTCCTTTTGAAAGTGCTGAAAATGACAAGAGTGTGTAACCAATGGAGATATCCTGCAGCCACAGGCTGAATTGAACCATGAAGCACTGATAGCATCCTAGGTGCAAAAGCGTCAAGAAGCAATTTTCTTCTTACATAAAGTATTACACAACTATGTGATCAGAAAGGCACCGATATACTTGATGTCTACTATGGTTTGCTTGATCACAGCGGGAGGAATGGAAGCATTTACCTGATCCCGCGTTTTATCAGCGCGAAGTAAAGTAGCTACCCCATCATCGCACTAAATGCGTTGGATGCAAGGGATCTGAATGATGATCACCCCACAAATTCATCTGATGCAGGCTGAAGCGTCGATGATGTTTTGCTATTGAGAGCTGTACAATCTAGAGCAGCACCGTCAGTATATTTACCCCCGAATGGATGTGGATGATATGTGAGGTCTTTCGGAGTGCAAAAATC